AGGTTGCTGTTTTCCACCATCAAGCTGCATTTACTGCTTTTCCTCTCAGAGAGCCATTTATGTCAAACTACTGCCTCTGTCCTTGCTCGTATTCGTTGCTCCTTTGGTGGCATTTGCAACTTCTGAACTGGCGTTACTGAACCCTCCTGCCCTGGGATAAACCTCGGGGCAGCGGCTGCCAGAAGATGCACTGAACTGGGAGACTTGGCTTGTTCCAGCCTTGCCTCCTGAAGCACCTTGTGCCTTTGTGTAGCATCAGCATTGGCTCTCCAGAGTCATACAGCCAGAGTTCGCGGTGTGGCAATGGGAATATTTTTTGCTGAGCCAAAGTGTGCTCTTGGTTGCACTGTAGCATTTTAGAATGACACTGCTGGTGGCAATGGAGCCAAGGCTGCAGCTACGCCAAGGATGAAGGCTGGGCTTGGGTGTTTGTCCCTCCTCCTCTTTCACAGAGTTTGGGAGGGGTTTGGAAGTGGCTGGAATTCCTCCACCCAGAGAGGGTCAGGCAGCTCTTGGTTTCATTCAGAAAGTAAAGGTCAGGAATGCTTCCCTTTTCCTTTTGCAGGGGTTTAAGAAAACTTTCTGTGTAGTCAAAAGGGTGCCTGAGTATTTCTTCAGGCACAGCACAGGGAACAGTGCTGGAGCATGGGGTAGGAGGCAGGGTCCTGCATGGGTTGTGGCTTTTTCACTGAAGGCTTTGAGCAGCATTAAAAATTCAGCAGGGGCGGGGGATTCATATTTCAAGAGTAACCCCGCTGTGCTGTTTGCAAGGTGTATCGGTATGCAAAATACGGCTCTGGCTCCTCATTCCCATGTGCCCTTTCTGCCTCTAAATAGGTTTTATGTCAGTGTGTGTGTCTGGAGATGGATTATTTGAGCTGGGTGGGTGTTGAATGTTTTCTGTACAGAGGGTGGTGGTCCCACAGCAAGTGGAAATCTGTGTGATGCTGGTCCTCAGCCATCTTCACGAAGAGTACTGCTGGGGGTCAGATGTATGGGTGTGCGATATTGGTTACTGCTCAGACTCCCTTCAGCTGTGGCAGAGTATCTGACAGACAGTTTGCTAAACCCTGAGGTCTTTTCCATACATTTCGGTGTAGCAGGTGAACAGGGTACGACTGTGACTTGGCAGCTGCATGGTGCTTGGAGTCCGCTGCGGTAGCATCAGTCGTGGTGCAGGGAGTGGGACCTCCCTGCAGGGAAGGGCTGTTTGCCCACGGTGAGCAGTTCTAGGGCTGTGCTCCTTGCTGGTACCTTGTAAGGAGCATATTTGTTTGCAAGCATTACCTTTCAAGCCTGTGGATGAAAGCTGGATCATCTGACTTACCCTTTTTGCAGTGTAATTTTTTTCCAAGCCCAACGCTTGGTTGTTGTGATACTGTCCAGAAAGCAGATATAAGAGAAACCTCTTTCCACCTCTGCAGCTGCAAAGATCACAGATGCTTACACTCGGTCTGTATTTTGAAGCAATACCCACAGAAAAAGCATGGTTTGCTAAAATTTGGGGGTTTTCATGCACTAGTGCTGCTCATGGGTGCTCCATGCAGCTCGGGAGATTGTGTCGATCCCAGTGGCCATGGCCCAAGCCTAAACTTAACCTTGACAGAGGGATGAAGATAGTTCCTTTATCTGATTGCAAATGAGGAAATACATGTCTTAAAATAATTAATGGTCCCTGAAGAGTATCTTTTTATTAGCATGTCTGTGTTTGAAAGCCTCCAGTCTATAAATACACAGTAGTTTCCTCCTCAGAGTCAATAGGGAGAACATCCCAGGTCTGCAGAAGCGTTTCTCTCCCACAACACTTGTTTGCATCGAGAGGACATGACGGGGCAGGACCGTGCTGGGTCACGCTGTGCATCAGGAGCCCGGTGAAGCAGGATGGGGAGCAAAATATCACATTTCACTGGAAAGTGTTCCTTTTTATTGCGGTTTCTTGGGGATGATTTCAAAACAAAACCAAACAGTAATTAAAAGAGCCCAGACCCAAAAGCATGCCTCAGACCCGACGTGGGGTCAGCTTGCAGCACGGCTGGCGGTTTGCTGCGTTATCGTTAGGGTTGCGTTAATTGCAGGAGATGCAGCAGAGCAGGGAGAGGGGAGGCACGAGGCAGCATGCGCTGCCGCCTGTCCGGCTCGGGCAGGGAGCTTCTGCCTGTACTTGCTGCTGTTTCTGCCTGCTGGCTGCCGCACGTCTGGGTGTGTATAGGAGTCTGCTGCAGCAACATTAAAACCATGCTTAACTGCTTTCATGCTGCTCTGAATGCTTGTTTGATCTTCACTGCCTGTGCTGCTGCCGTGCCGGTGATGGCCCCAGCGTCCTCCAAAACACAGACTCCAGCCCCGCAGCAAGCATCGCTATCTCTGCATTGGGATCAGGCACAACCGAGACTGTGGCAGATAAAAATATAAACCTCAGGTGTTTTTAGTCCCCGTCCTGTGCTTTAGCCATCTGTGGTATGGCGCAGAGGACCAGGAGGGCACTGCCAGCTCTATTCTGGGGGTTTCCCCAGTGCTGGGGAAAGGTTGGAGCCTCCAAAAGAGCCTCCTGCTCCTCATCCTTGGGAGGGCTTTAAACCTTTAAACCTGGCTTAGCTCCCCTGGCTCAGAAGCACGCACTGAGGTCTAAGTGCCTGTTGTCCCTGGGCTACTGTGTGCATGCTGGTCTCTGGGAGGCTGCTGGCCCCGCAAGTTTGGCAGGAGGGGATTTTTCATTGGGGAATGGGAGCTCTGTTCTGGCAGATCCAACTTGGACATCGGCAAGGGCAGCCACTGCCTGGCTCCCCGTCCCTGGTCTGTGGCTCAGCCATGGTAGCTGGTGGGGCTAAAATTGCAGGGAGAGCACTCACAAGAAGGAAAAGGAGATGAGCCAGCAAGGATGGGGTGCTGTGCCGCTGCCAGCGGTGCCACATGCATGCTGCTGGGGCCCTGTACTGGTGTTGGGGATCTTGCTGTGAAACACTGGAAGCTTCGGCAGTGAGCATACCACCAGTGTTGCTTATTTTCCCCTTTATCGCTGTTTCCATGTTATGTGGTCCTTGCTTCCACACATCTTCTGTTTGTTCCCATCTGTCCCTTGTTACGTGCTGACACTGGCAGCCCTTTTTGGGGAGCATCCCCTCCTCTTGTGTTTGTTCAGAGCCTGGTGTAAGCAGCCATCCCTCCTTTTTTTTTGCTGCATGCCAATGTATTTGATGCAAGGATGGTCAAAATGCAGAAATGTAGAAGTCCTATGGAGCTTATTAATGACCATTCAGCAACACTTTCTGCTTGCTCCTGGAAAAGTGCTTGATGTCCCTAAGATGGCCCCAGCACAGGGCTTGGGGAGCCTCCTGAGCATAACCTTGGGGGTCCGTGTGCTGTTACAGGTGTCTGAGCTGCCTCCAGGATCACCGGGGGGTTTGTAGCCCTGTGGCGATGGGGACACATTGCTGTGTTAGTCAACTGGTCCTCCAGCCACCCCATTCTCCCTTATGTCATGGTCTCCTTGCGCGAACCCAGGCTATCCATAGTACAGATATGTGATCTGGGCTTAGCAAATTATGTGTCATTTTGATGGTCTGAAATGCTTTGCTTTTCTATTTGACAGTTTCCATCTGGTCACTGGGTTGCCCGGTAACTTGTGTATTATAAGCCCACTAATGTCCCATAAGAAGCTGGAGACTGTACCACGTGCCCTTGGGAACAGTAGATCTTTGGAAAATGTATTGGTTCCCAATCCTGGCTTTGCAGTCTGGATGAACTTTGACCTCACAAAATAAGAGAAGGTGATTTTTCTTTACCAGCCAGCTGGCCTTCAAATGAGCTACTCATAACACCATCGCAAGCTCTAATCCAAGTAAACACGGAAAAGGTGATTTACGAGCTGGGAAGAGAAGCCCTATCAGTTCGTAATGAGGTTTAATACTTAGCGGCATATTCTCAAATATTGTCCTTAAATATTGCAATTGGGTTTTGACTGCATGTTACAAGATCAGTGTTTTATGCTCCTCGGATCATGTAAATGATATTTTTGTTTGTTTGCATTAACTGAAAGGCAACAAAATAGCAAAACAGGATTAGAAGAGTGATTTGGGGAAAACACTGATTTTTATAATCAGATTTGAATTGCAATCTGTCTGCTTTTACACGGGAGTAAGTTTATCGGAGAGGATGCCAGGAGGTGAGGCAGAGCTGGGCAACTGCTTGTGGTCAGGTCTGTGCAGAGCTATATGAGCCTGGTTGGCAGCCTGTTCTTTAATATGCGCTCCTCATTGTGCAGCCTTTAGCTTTTCCTACCTAAAACTACCTAAGAAATAGATAAGAATCAAGAGGCATAGTGTGGCCCTTAGGATTTCAGGGAGGCAGGGAGCTCTCTCCTTTCTTGCAGGCAACTGTTTGCCCCATTTTTTCCCCAAAGGGGAAAATTCCTCTTCGTGGGTTGGGAATCAGGGAGCAGCTGGGATGGGCTAGGGGCATCCAGGGGATTTCACAGCCTTAGTGATACTGGAGGGGCTTTTTCTGCTGGACGTCTGCTGCCAGTTGGCCTGGGGGTAAGGGCTTCTGTGAGATCAACCCATGGGCTTTAACGAGCCCTTCTATCAAAGCCTCAGTATCTTCGATGTAGGGGATGAGAGTTCCCTTTTCCAAAGGGAGAATTCAGAGGAAACTTTATTTATTTATTTATTTATTTATTTGCCTAAAATACTTCTGTCCCTCCGGATCACCTTGTGTACCTTACATGCTTCCAACAGCTCGCGCGAGTGTCCGTCCCGCAAAACACCTCTGCACTGATGGGGTGCAGAGGAACACCAACAATATTTAAGTCTAAAATAAATACTCCTCTGGAGTAACTGCCTTCAGGGTGTTTTTCAGGCAGCGCTTGCCCCTTGCCCAGCACACCCAACCTCATCCCGCCATCTCCCTTAAAGCTGTTCCTCTCTCTCTCTGTGCATACAGGGAGTTTCCCGCACTTGGAGCCTGTTCCTGTGCATCCCCCGAGGAGCTGGTGGGGCTGAGCCTTTCCCGGGGGAAGATGCACTGAAAGAGGAGCTTCACCAGACCACGGCTGCTGGCGCCGTTTGCCTGGACCCTGATGGACTCTGAGGCAGGACTGCATTACCATGGTGATGATCTTAACCAAAACTCGGGAAAACAAAGGTGCTGACTCTGTAACATGCAGGACTGAGCTGGTAAGCTTTGTGAGATCTTTGTTCAAAACTCTTTTGCTGCCGAGAGCTTTGCTGTAGCTTTATAATAAGGGTTTTTTGTGCTGCAGGGCCAGATCTTTAGATGGTTTATAGTAGTGATTTCTACCGAGCTGCATTAATATCTAAGGAGCAGGCGATTAGTAAATGATTGGAGTGCTGTGGCTTTTGCATATGTGAATTTCAGTAAGCATGCAATGGAATAAACAGTAGAAAAAAGTAAAATCAATGCCATGAATAACATAGGCAAGAAGTTGCTTCACCAACAGCGAACAGATGCTCATCATTAATAGGAGGATGAGCAAGTGGGGAGCAGGATTAAGTGGGAGATGGCGAAGGGCAGTGCTGTGGTACTTAACAGTCTCACTGGCAGCCTGGAGGGATGCAAATTCAACCACACCGAATGAGCAGACAACAAAAAAAAACAAATTAGGGGCAGCAAACAGCCTAAATGATGCTGCAAGGGGCGAGCAAGGCTGTGGGGCTGAGCATACCTACGGTAATGGGAAATGAGGGGCAACGCATTTTCTGGGGACAGTGTCAGAGCAAGCGAGGGTGGGAAGCAGAGGCAGGAGGAGGAAGTGCGGGATGATGGAGAGCCATCTGAGAAAGCCCAGAGCGAGGCTGGTCGTGGACGTTTGCTTCTCTGTCCTCCAGGAGGGATGGTCATAGTCTGAGAAGAAATTAGACCGAAAGACTATTCCTCGCCGGGTGCGCTGAGAGCCTCAGATAAGGGCGTGCAGGAACACAGCAGGAAGCATCTGGCAGGATTAGCCATAAATGGGCATTTTGAGCATAAAAGAAATATAAATGCCTAAGTTTGCTGAGGATGACAAACTATCCGGCCGGGCTTCCTGGGCAGATTGCACAGCATGCCAGTGCAAAGGCAGGCTGCCCTGGCAGTGCGCAGTGGAGGAGAAGGCAAGCAAGCCAGAGGCAGCATTAAATCCTGCCTTAAAAGGGTGAAATTTGGGAAGGAAGGATATTGATATATTAGAAAAATATCCTTGCTTTAATGTTGGCTCCTGCTGGGAAGGCAGCATCTCCCGTGGCTGCTGCTCGGGGCGGGGAGAGGGGAGCCCGAGTATCCGATGCCGGCTGTGCCCCAGGAGGTGTGTGGGGCAGGTGGAAGGGAACTTGCTCTCAAGAGAAGCAGATGAGAAGTAGTTTCTTCTACTACCAGAGGCAGGGATCGGCACCCGGGCTGTCCGATGGCAGGCAGTGGAGGTGCGGAGCTGTAAGACAAAACTTTGCCCTCATGTGTTTGCCGAGGGCCTCCCGCAGCTCTGGGGCTGGGTCAATAGTGCAATGATAGTCCTGCTTACACAAGTTGAATTGCTGGGTTGTCTGGGCTGTTAAATTGGGGCAGATGTTCACAAGAAGCCTGATCCACCAAAGAAAGCAAGAGTTTTTCCATTGACATCATGAGAAAGGCCAAAAAGCAAAACCTAAAGGAAATAAGTGTCTGAGCAGCGGGACAGTATCACCTACCAACGCCCAATGGGCTCGTTTGGTTCAGTTCCCAGTTTGGCGTTAAGACAAAACTCTTACAAAATGGTAATTATACTCAATATGAGACATATGTCATCTCAAGATGTTCCTCCCCCTCCCGCGTTTGCAAGCAGTATAGCTGGTCTCTGGGGCTGGCACACAGATGGGTGCTGGCACAACCACCGCCTTCTCTGGGGCTTGTCCCACTTCCATTGCTGCTCCACTTTGGCCGCTCTTTGGAGACAGCTGCCTGTCCTCGTTGTCTCCTGATTAATTCTACCTGCCACTTCATAAGGTGGGGCTTGACAGATAAAAATAGCCTGACTTCACCTAGAAGAGTGGCACATGCTCCGAAGAAGGTGACCAACCCTTATTTACCTTGTCCACATCTGCATGCCATTGTTATTTTCTGCCTCCACATCCCTCTATATTCAATATTTACAATATTCTGTATATGAAGTGGGATCCTTTCGTTGGATTGCTCTGTACAGGCAGGTGCCAGCATTTGGTATGTTATTATTATTGTTATGTGAGCAGGCAACGTGTAAAACATGGATCGGGAAAGAAGATGTGAATGTGGTGGCCTAACACCAGATAAAACGCAGCTATGACAGCACAGATGAACGGGGAGGTCATGCTGGTGCTTCCCTCAGATGATGTAAAACCTCGGTCAGATGGGATGGTGTTGCCAGGAAAAACACTTCAGAAGCAGAATATGGATATTTTTAAGGATAATAAAAGAACAATTAGTATGAAAGTGTGTTTTTGCAGACATAGCTGAAATGGCATGTAGCTGCAGATGACATTGATTTATTGTATATAAAACTGTCCATGCCCATTTTTAGAAGCCTGATGATGTCTCTTGCACTGTCAAGAGGAAAATTCTCGGAAAAAAAGAGTGTAAAAAGCATCCAGGATTATTTTGTACCCATATAGTAACGTTTTTCCCTATTTTTAGTGCAAATCAGCACAATCTGAATGTGGACTCCCCAGAAGTGCTGGGGTGAGGGCATCTTGCCTTAGAAACACACTACATGTTTAAAAAAAACTAAATAGAATCATAGAATCATTAAGGTTGGAAGAGATCTCTAAGATCATCGAGTCCAACCGTCAACCCAACACCACCAGGCCCACTAAACCATGTCCCTAAGCGCCTCATCTACACATCTCTTAAATACTTCCAGGGAATAGCTGCTTTCTACCTAGATGGGAGGCCTTAATGGGCCTGGATGGGGTTCAGATACCACTGCTGCTGCTTTCTTGCCCAATCCAGAATTACTGCTGAATTGCAGCTCCCAGTTTAGTTTCTCCAGTGTTTTGGGTCCCGCAGCTGGGGACTTCGCTGCAGCTATTCCTGTGGGTAAGGACTAGGTGCAGGAGCCATGATGTGCAACCTCAGGCCTCAACACCGACTCTCTGCAGTGTTTAATTAAATTTGATTTCACTGAGGGAAGATGACTGGGTCTGTCCCCCAGTCCCTGCCGAAATGGGACCCTTGCAGGCGCCTGAGGCTCTCCTCCCCGCTGGGTGCTCTGCAGCTTTGCTGAGGCTGGAGGCAGGGTGGTTTCTGGTGCCCCAGTCGAGTCCACGAGAAGTGAATAGTTTTTCTGGTTGTTTGCAGCACACTCCAAAGATGAGTCAAGGACCTACCCTCTTCTCTTGTGGCGTGATGGGTAAGTAACAGAAACTTCTGCCCGTATTTACTCCACCTCCACTCCCGCTTCCTTATAGCGATGGGCGGGAAGATGTCCTGACTGGCTGGATCTCTCAAAAAAATGCTCCCCTGCGGACCCTGGGGGGGCATCCACCCACCTGCCCCATGTAGCGGGGATGGAGGGGCACCCACCCCACCACCCACTTAGTGGTGGCCATCGTGCCTGTGCCACCTTCCCTCCCAGAGGTGGTTGTCCTGCCCCATTGCCATTGCTGAGTGAATTGCTTATCTCCTTCCCCCTTCTCAGTGCTTTGATATGTCTGCTTATTTTCAGAGTAACTTGTACAGTTGAGATCATAAGCATTTTGGGTCTGAGACTGTGTTTGAGTATCCAGCCCACAACCATGGCTCTTGACTGTTTGCACGATGCAAGTAATAAATATCAGTATTATCACAAAAATGTTCTACCACTTGGCATGAAGTGTTTGGACAGGCATCAAACAATAAGGAAAATGTCTTATTTTTGCCTTTGACAATAACCATGGTATAGGATGTTTAATACCTTTCATGTCAGAGCTTGCTATCAATTTTTATGCTGAACAGCCACCAAAATTGATGGGGGATTGGTGCCTTGGCCGGTGATCCTGAAAAACTGATAGTGCTGGAGGATGTGCTGTTATATTGTGCTCTTTTGCTTTTGTAGGGAGGAGCCAGTCACTAGGCGAAGTCTCAAAACTCAATTAAAATTGTAAGTCAAGTTTGAGCCAATGCTTTACAGACAAAGAGGCTGCCCCTTTTCTTCATGGACGCAACTCTCATTAGCGTTAATGGGAGCCAAGCACATGCATTGACAGGAGATATTTCCCAAGCGCTCTGATAACTCCAGTCATCGGGAGGGGGGGTGGGAGAAGATGGAAAGCATTTGGATTTTTTCAGATGAAAGTCACAAGCTTCAAAGTCAAGAAGGGGTAGAGACAGCCCATTCCCTTTCTCCTGCCTGTCAAACATGAGTGAGGAACAAAGAAAAACATGAGCAAGAAACAAAGACACCCAATCAGATGGTTTTGTCTTGCACTGTGGCACTGCCAGGGTCTTCAACAGATATGAAGAGTCTATGCCTAATTGAAAAGCAGCTTGTCTTTAAGAGCTTTTACAAAGCCTTCTGTGTCTTTGTAGCACTGCGCTGGTCTTCCTTGGCTGCCAAATTATCATCTTTCCAACGGAACCGAATGTCACCTCCTTGACCACAGCTTGCCATTTAATGGTCTTCGTCATGCCCAGCCAAAAGGAGCCAGTCTCTTCAGCATGCAAGGGCATTGGTTGGCTTGGGTATCTTTCCCGAGCATTCTTGATATCTCCAAATGTGGGCCACGATCACAGACTAATCCAGTGTCAAAACTTGCTTGACTTTTTAAATAAGTCCCTTGGTTCTAATGGCACTGAATGCAAAACTGGGCGAATATTTCAGGTCAAAGGGCCAAGTCTCTGTCGGTGAAAAGTGCTGAGATAAATCAATACGGTGAAGTTTGGACTGGCAGTGCAGCCAACCAGAGGCAAAGACTCATAGTCCCATGTACGATGTTGGGGGGATAGAGGGAAGTTGGCTGAATTTTCTGGGTTTTTTGCCAGAAGAGGCTGAGGGTCTTAGCACAGGGTCTTCCCGGTTGCCTTTGGGGGCGAGGGCAGCTTTGGGCAGGGAGGCAGCTTGTGGCTGGTCCCAGCGGTCATGGGACAGTGGGGCAGAGGGAAGCCCAGCCTCGGCCAGGCTGCAAGGGAGAGCATCATCCAAACCCTGGAGCTTCCCACAGGCATCGGCTCAGCAGCGTTTATCTCCGGGAATGAGAAGGAAGAAGTTGGGTCAAAGCCCCAAGGGGTGTGTAATGCACCATGACCAAGAAACCCAGCTGGGCCAAGATGGGAAGGCTGGGGTCCTGCTTACCCGTAGCATAATGTGGGGAAAAAGAGTAAACTGAAGCCCAGGCATTTTAGATGTAGGTACCTTGTAAGGTACTAAACACCAGAAGAATCTGAAAATCGATTATAGATTGTAATATAACTCAATATATGAGTAAACATTATTAAAGACTTGATATGTCGGATGATGCAATGTTAGATCCACTTCTCAAGGTGATCTAAATAATCTTTTGATTTTTAGATTTGTAAGAAGTATTCCTGCCAGTGTGATGACAATATTACTAAAAAGATTGTTTTTTACCTTTATATAGCCCTTTGCTGGGAGGAAGATTAAAGGTGAAGTGCCTTAAAACTATAAATTCAACAATTTTTTTCCCTTCTCCTTGATGGGTCCTTGAAACATCTGGGAGTATAAGAATTGTCCTGTTGTTGGATAGGGTTTTTTTTCTCCTTTTTTGCCTTTCCTTCCCCTGCAGTCTCCATCACATGCCCCCGGTCAAAATATCAGTGACTGTGCTAGAGAAAGAAGGTGCCATATTAGAAAGTTGGGCCATTACTTTTGACTTCCTATATTGAAATGTTTCTGTCTTTGGGTGGATGGCAGAAGAAAATTTACAATATTTTAACAAGGCATTGGCAGCATCACCTAACCTTTCCCTAGCAGGTATATAAGCAGCACTCAATGTCTAAATCGGTAGCACCAGAGGCTGCACCAGTCCAGCCTTCTAAGAGAAACTCAGCAGGCGTATGCCAACAGCTGTGGCCTCCTGTTTTCTGTGTAAGCAAGAAATTATCTTTGAGGCAAACTGCAGGCAGGGTTTTATTGAGGCTGTGACAAGGTGCTTGCAAGTGCAATCACCCTGGCCGCAGGATCAGTGTCCTGGCACGGCAGTTGTTGCATGCATAGCCCTGCTTGTAAAAGGGAAGGGGAGGATGGGTTTGAGCCCATCAGGGACGGATCCTGCATACATCTGTGAAATGCTCTTTTAAAAGTAACAGTCATTTGCTTTTCCCCTTGGAAAGCACCCCCAGAATTTGTCCTTGTAGAGCGCTGTGGCAGAGTGGGGTGAGGGACGAAGCACACAGGTCAGCTCGTCCATCCTTCAGCACGCTCCTCCACCATCGCGGTTTGGCAACACCAGCAGTCCAAGAGGCAAGTGTGCCAGGGGGTTGCAGCCTTGGGTCTCATCATTGCACACCTCTTACCTGGAAATTACTTTTCACACTGCATAGGTGATGGAGGAAAGCCAAGAAGCCAGAATGAAGTCCAGCTGGGGGGTGATGCCCCTCAATCGCATCCCGAAAGCACTCGCCCACCCCTCTGCCTCCCAGTGCAGGGCTTGCACGCCTCCTGTTTCTGATCCGGGATTTCCTGGGATTTCAGGGTTTTTTTTGAAAGCCAGCAGCATGGAACAGCATCTTGGTGCGTGTTCAAGCACAGTCAATCCACAAAGAGAGAAAGCCGTGCAGGGAAAGCCAACAAGGCGTAGCTGGAGCGGGGAGACGTCGCCAGAGGATCGTGTTGAAGAGCAGGGCACGTTTTGCCGTCGAGGTGGGGAATGTCCCTCCCCCGTGCAGGCTGTTGGCACGAGGAGCCTGCAGCCCACTGGTGTGTTTATTCTCCAGCAGTAGATTTAGGGGCTGTTGTTTTCATTTCCTATTGAAGCACAGCTCCGCGCATCGTATTTTAATCTTATTTCTGCAATGGGAAGGCTCTATGGCACTGCCATCGGCTAATTACAACCATTAAATTTGTTCCACATTTAGTAATCATCTCTCAAATGTAAACAGGGGGCAGTGGAAAATGCAGGCTGCCTTTTCCCCTGTGCACGGAGACTGGGAGGCTGAAATTCGACTTGAACAACATGGGAAAAAAGGGAATTGGATGCGCACCCGTGTGAAGAGAAATGTTTGGGTTAAGATCCAAACAGAATTTATCTGCCAAAAAGGAGAAGAAAAATTGATTGAAACCTGTAATTGCTTTACAAGTTGCCATAATAAATTATGTATTAATGTAAATTTTTTCACGGGAAAAGAACGTAGAGGAAACTTGAGCAGAAGGATCATGCATTATGTATAAAAAGGAACTGTAAAAATATTATAGCAGCACATTTGTGTCGCTGTAGTTAAAGTTGTGTCAGCATTTTGGTTTTACACCCTTCTCTGTGGTTATGAACGTGGTCATTAAAATTTAGTCTGTGTCACCAGAGGAGCACAGCAGTCGTTTAAAAAGCCTGCGACCATCCCGAAACAGGAAGGTGCCTGGCATGTCTGTGCACTGCTCCTGCAAAACCTGGAGCTCAGCATTTGGAAACGTGGCTGCAATGCTCTGAGGGTGGATCCCATTCTCCATGGGGCTGTGCAAAGCCCTCAGGGACGTTTTGGAGGACAACACCCCTCTCCTTGATTTTGGGACATGACTTCAGCTCATGAGTACCTCATGCCCCGGACCACTGGGCTTGTTTAACGTGGTGAAGGTTGCACAGGATGGACACTGTAAGGGTTCATGTTCACTCTTGAAAGTGAATGTCTCAGTTTTGCCTGAAAGGAAATTTAGGAATAGATAGTGGTGCCAATAGTGTTTGAGCATGCTATCGATGGTCCCAGGACGGGTTGGGCTGTGCTCGCACGCAGGTGACTTCTGGCTTGTCTCTGAAAATAGGAGAGGAGGAAAATAAACCAGGTGAGGATCGGCCGGCAGCCAGAGCCCAGAATGTGCCAGGTCTTGCTGGGGCTTGTTGCCGCTTGCCCAGCCTGGCGAGTCCTGCCGGCACGTGCTGGCGGGGCACTAGCCTTGTGCAGAGAGCAGATGCTGCAGCTTACAGCAACGGCCGCTCTTCACCCGCACCCCAAGTGCTCTGGCAGTTTGACGCCCAACATCTCCCTCCCAGAGCATCCCTGGCAGGGCTGCTCCCCACCACCCCGGGGTCAACGGCTCTGCCACCAAACTGTCCCGGAGGCCTGGCAGGGCGGTGGGAAGGCGTACAGGCTGGGGGATGATGCGGGAGCTGGGGCTCAGATTGCTCTCTCTGGGGCTGAATCAAGCTAACTCAGCCTTGCTTTGGAAAGCAGAAACAGTTTGGGTTTGGGTCCCCCTGCGGCTGGGCAGCCTGGGACATTGCAGCTGTAACCTGAATTTAATGCTGCTTCGTGCCAGTCTGAATTTCTTGCTGCTTCGTGCATGGTTTGCAAGAGGGCTCAGGCTCCTGCTGCGGCGGCCAGAGCGGGCAGGATGAGAAATTCAGTCCTCCCCAGGCTGCCGATAACACCCCTCTGTGTCTTGGGAGCTGGAAAGCTATTTCACAACTAAAGAGATGCCAGAAAATTCACTTTGTGTTGCCTCACCCTGGAAATACAGATTTGCAGATCAAAACATCTCGAAAGAAATTTGCTGGACATGCTCATTAAGTGACTTGAAGTGCTTATTTTTGCAGTTTTAAGTTAAAATCCAGAAGTAAGATGCTATTTCATCCAAAGACACTAACAGCCAAGAAGGACCTGTTTAGCCAGGGGAAGAGCCCCTTGTGCCACACTTACAGCATGCTCTGGTTGTAAATGTTCTTCTATCATTTTTCCAATAGGCAAAGGAGAGTTTTCCAGCGAAGCAGCTCACTTACAAACCGAGGGGTTCTCATGTTGGGTTTTATCCTGGAACAAATTACTGCCTCAGGGTAAACCAAGTTGACGTTTGTAATGTAAGAAAATTAATACATGCTTAACTGCAGCAGTATTAATAGCTCCACTGCAGTTATCATTATCAGCGTGCTCAGGATGTGAATCTTAGTCTTAAAAAACTGAACAGAAAACCAGCCACTTTTCCTCAATAAAGCTTTCCCGAGTCCTTTAATTACACCCTCAGCCCTTCAATTACCCCATTTTTAATTTGTTTTGGGGCAAACAGTTTTCTGTTTGCACTGAAAAACCGTGTTCTGGGTTATCCGGTAGTTTGGGACCAGTCAGTAGTGCTCAGGGGCTTCGGGGGTCCATGCTGTGCCAAGGTCTCCTCCTGGGGTGCCCTATGCAACCCCTCTGCCCTGCCAAAAATACAGCTCCCACGGTGCAAGGGGAAAAGCAAATAACCCCAAGCTGGTGCTGGGGATAACGGTGCGATTACTGGTCTCTTTGCAAGGTTTGGAAGATTTATAGCTGTTTGTGCCAAAGCAGGGGTGAAAGAGGAAGGTGTCCCATATCCTCCTCACCAAGGCCTTTTGCACAACGTGACGTCTCCGACCGGAGGATCGTGGCAGCTTGCCATGAAAAATCAGCTTCTATTTCTGTTTCTTTTGTCTGCTGACCTGACCCAAGAAATCTCTCTGCTGGCAGCATAATAAGGAGGGGAAAATAATAAAGATCTAAGTGTAGATGTAATTGTTTAGTGCAGATTTCTCACTTTTCATTGTGTTTATTAAAATGAGGACAGCGACAGGTAAAATGCCATGTGGTTATTGAGGGCAAAGACAGGCTGTTTGTGGCTGGAGCTGTTACAGCAGCAGCTGGATGCAGGGAGAAATGGGAAAACTGGCCAAGAGTGGTGTAAGGGCCCCCAAATCTGACCTCCTGACTTGAAACCGAGCCCTGGTCAGAAGCGTTCTGCACCACTGCATCTTCCCTATCAGGCTGGTACCTACAGCTGCGGGCTGGTGTACAGCTCTTAATTCATCCTTCAGTTGCCTGAGTGGCAAAAACCCCAAACCCCTAAAAAATATTGCATGATTTAGATACGATCACATGAAACTTCGCAGCGACGGTTAGCTAGCATGGTTTGCCTCTGTTTGCAGCAGCTGACGACAAAACCAGTCACCAGAGAAGGTCTGTTGGGTGATTACTTTTTTCCATTGCGGCAGCTGATGGGGTTGTCCTACCATGGTTTTCCTGTTGAGCATCAACAGTGTATCTGCAGAGAGTCCCGTTCGCCTGCGCAGCCTGCACTGGGAAGCCAGACCTTGATGATACTTTTTGCTTTCTTCTTTTATTGTGATCAGGACCATGTGCAGGAATGAGATCATCACCCTCAATCCTCTCTTTTGACACAGTCATTAGTGGCATTTCTGAATACAGCTATAGCCAGGTTTGCAGTCTTCCTATGTGGAGCTGCCCATAGCCATATATGTTTCAGCCCGTGGCCTTTGGAGGTGCAGGTTTCTCGGAGCTTTACCCAGGCACTGCAAAACCCATCTGATAAAAGGAGTATCTTTATGCCAACCCCGAAACCATGCAACAGGTCACCACTGTCTTTTGCTGTGCTGCATTGGAAGACTGTTAATGCAAGCCAAATTTGCAGGAGGAACAAATTCCTGTGTAAACAAGCTGAATGAAAGAGAGAGGGAGAAAATGTTAAAAAAATGTGTTTTAAAAAAAAAAGTGAACCTATTAAGTGATTTGTTCCTTTAAATAAATGCTTCAGCGTTAGTTTGTTACAGAAATGCAAGCAATTGGCTGTGCTAGGTACAACTGGGATTTTCAAGGCAACCACAAAGAGATGCTAAGCCCAGGTTGCCGCAGAAGGGTAGGAGGGTGTGGGTACCCGGTTCCTGTAGCACTTTCCTGCTCCGTGCGGGTAACCGGGCAGGTGGGCACCTGGGCCAGAGCACCCAGGTGGCCCCAGATTTGGGGGACGGAGGGGAGGTGGCCGATGAGCCTCCCGTCAGGGACCTAAGAACAGCATCTTGCAAAGAACTGCTGGAGGTTTATCGTCCATCTATTATAGCATCAGCCATCTTAGAGCTTATTATGTGCACTGACTTTTGTTAGACACAGTATCTTTGGGTCAGCTTGGAAGAGATGCTGAAAGCCTTAGTGGGGATAAGTTAGTTTCATTGGAGCAATGCTGTTTTAGCAGCAGCTGAGAGCAGGACAGCCCGATGGGTGTCGGGATGGCTTTTGGTTTCCTGTAGGCTCTGATGACCTTGTTGGGATTTCTGTGCTACGGACAGGCCGGGGGGGGGGGGGCCCCCCCTGTTAGGACCATCCCAACTGCTCTCTCATCTCCTTTCTGGTGTTTTGTCCCCCGAGGTCCATCTCGCGCCAGCGGTGCTGCAGCTTTGTGCTCTTCACTTCCAGTTTTTGTGAATGTCTCAGCCAATTATTGATTGTGGAGCCCAGGACAAACCGCACGCATCTGAGACATGATTTAGCACAGAGATAAGGCAATGGCCATACCATTTTATATTGCTGAATTTCCCTTAGCTAGTGCAATCTGGATATTCAAAGGCATGTTTTTATCTTCTTCTAGCAGTTTTGCTCCTGCTGTGATTATCACTTTGTCTCTCTCTCTCCATCTACACCGCAGCAACCGCTCTGCTGGCAGTTTGGAAAACCATATTCCAAGAGTTAATTAATTTGTACTGGAAAATGTCCCATATGCTACTCTTTTTGTTTATGGACGTAGAAAGTGAATTGCAGAATTAATTAACACTAATGCCTGTGCGTGTGTGGTGTTTTTTTTTTCTCCTTTCTGAACCAGAAAATGACA